AGCATAGGGAGTCCATGCTCCATTGCCGAGGGTGGCACGGTGGGCGAACTTCTTGGCGGTATCAGCGAGTATGCTCCTCATCATCTCGAATGGCGGTAGCTTCCTAACCTGTGACAAGTCATCGCCGAATAAGTTGCAACATGACCAAGCTAGGCTTGAAACGAAACCAACCATGCTTGCTTACTTGCTGTGGTCGACACGGGGCGTTGCAGTGGTTCAAGAGAAACACCAAAACGGGGGAGGGGTGCACCCACAACTCGAGCAAGAATGCGCGGGGGTGTGTGGTGGAGGGGTCGTGGGAGGCAGGCGCACGTGTACTCGTGTCCAGTCACGTCCACGAAACAGCCTTATTTTCAAGTTCTTCCCAGGAAAAAAAAAAACGAAAAACATCTATTCATCTGTCTCTTCTCTGCCACGCACGGGTGCACTTGCCTTCCAACGAGCGAGTGGGTGTCCCTGACATGGAATCTACAGTAACGTGTTCGAGTCTTCGCGGCTCGTTGTCCATCCAACCCTGCTACCGATCATACATGGTCCACAACAAACGGAACGAACATCCCGTCCTGGAATTGTGGTACTTTCATATTTACGACACCTATCCCGGCAGTCACATACGACGAACCATCGTGCGACGAGTAGCCTTACCTCGACACCAATCGACGAGTTGGTTTGCTTCGAAATGTTGTTCGTGACAACGTCTTGGATGGCGGTGTCGGGGGGCGCACCAGAGTGAGCCCACTCAGACCTCTTCCAGAGGTTCATGATCTGGGCATAGGCCACAGGCTTGCTCGGTAGAACGTGGTGTTTCAGGATGTCCTCGCACTGTTTCTTCGTGGGAGCTCTGGAGGCGAAGAATACCCATGTGTTGACATTCTGGGCAGAGAAGTTAACACACGAGGAGAGGGGGCACAGGCAACGCAGGGAAAAGGGACAAACCTAAGAGGGGCTTCGCAAACACAACAAAATGGAGCAGTAACGCACCCAAGGGAGTCGCAGCGCATCGGCGAGTGCATCAACAGCAGCCTGTACCTGTATCTGCCGACACCCAACGCAGCAATACCAAACGTCACGTCCACGGCTAGAACAAAAAAACGAAGCCAATCAACAAACCACATGCTCCGCACACACACGAGGAAGGGCTGGCTGAGCAGTACCTCACATCCCTGGTCGATTGCCGTGGACTTGCTCAACAGACACATTTCGACGGCTGCACAGCTGGGACAATCGTGTCTGACACACACGCTACATAGATTTGGTTGGCGCATCTCGTGGTATACTCCTGGCGGCAATTCTGGTGAAGATGTTGTGGTGAGCTGAACAGGCGCGGGTGTGTACGACATGACGTAAAAATGCTAAACATGGGGCGCGGGGGGGGCACCTGAATATCCATAGTTCCCAACCGGCTCGTTCTCACAGTGACAGGTATCCCTTTAGCACGTACATGC